TAAGTAGCGCCAGGTAAGCGGGTGAACAGAATGGGATACAATGGCAATGGAATGGCATAAGCGGAAGTGCAGCCAGGAGGCTGAGGAAAGTATCTAAGAGATGCGCATATTAATGGCACTGATTGTGCCGCACAGATAAACGAAACGAAACGAAACGAGACGAACTGAGGAGCGAGCGGCTACTTGAATTACATTTACATGGCCCTCGGCCCATGTCCGATGACAACCCGTCCTAAGCGCATTAAGATGCGAATCGAGACGAGCATCGTCTCCATGTGGATCACTTGCACCATTCCAGTCATTCATTCATTCGTTCATTCATAGACACCATACGCTCTCACCCATTCATAAAAATCAAACGAGACGATCTGTCGCGCTCTTTTGTCCAGAGTTTACCCCATATACAACTCGTCATATTATGACAATGTTGGATGGGTTTATTTACCTCGCACCGACACACAGATACAGAATGTGCAAAACGATCATCATGATCGTAAAAAATACAGCGCCAAAATACAGGGCACATCAAAGGCCTGAATGGTCCATAAAAAGGAAAGACTGCACTTTGTTGCAGAACCGGAAGGGGGACAATTATGCAATGGAAAGCTGGGGGAAAAAGTGTACAACAAGTAAAGATACAAATATTAGAAATACAGTTGCTCATTATTCAAGTGAAAGTGATGGAAATCCACTACGATTTCGATTCTGGTAAAGATAGAATTTTCAGTAGACAATAATGAAAACGAGGGGGAACGTTGTGAGTTGCTGCGGACACCGAAACTCTACAGTTATACCCGATACTAAGTCAGTATGGCTTTCCTCCGGCAGACGCCGCTAATATTAAACGACACGACAAAGAGTGCGTGCGAGAGAGACAGAAAATCAGTCTGAGCGTGACGTCGGGCGCTGCGTAGCCACTGCAAATTGATTTGTTCCTTTTGGCTACAAAAATTATCTGATCTGATCCAGATTCAGCAATCTGATAGATATGGTCGTTATCTATGATTCTCCGTTTTTAGTTTTTCTCGAATCTGCAATATTGTGGATGCAACAGATTTTCGTCCTTTGTGTGGGCGGAAGGGGGTGGGGCGAAATTTTGAGATACACGTTTTATAGTGAGATCTAAGAGAAGTGCGGATTCCAAATTTGGTTACTCTAGCGTTAATAGTCTTTGAGATTTGTGAATATCCCCAGATTTGCATCCTTTGCGGGGGAGGAAGGGGGTGTGGCGAAATTTTGAAACAAACTCGTCTCGGTCTGATATATTAGGAGTGTGGATACCAAATTTGGTTGCTCTAGCTTTTATAGTCTCTGAGATCTAGGCGCTAATGTTTTACTCTAAGCAAAGCCGCCTATGCTACCTGTGTGTTAGAGAGAGACAGGGCGAGAAAAAATGAAATTGTTTTCTTGATGCTGGCTATAATAGTAATACGATCCAATTCAGATTCTGCAGTCTAAAAGATATGGTCATTCTCTACGATTCTGCGTTTTTTGTTTTCTCGTATCTTTAAAATTGTGGATGCCACAGATTTTCGCCCTTTGTGGGGGCGGAAGTGGGCGGGGCAAAGTTTTGAAATATTTTTGTAGCAGTGACATATCACAGAAGTCTGAATCCAAAACATCGTTGCTCTAGCTCTTATAGTCTTTGAGCATTAGGCGCTGAAGGGGACGGACAGACGGACAGACGGACAGACAGACATGGCTCAATCGACTCGGCTATTGATGCTGATCAAGAATATATATACTTTATGGGGTCAGAAACGATTCCTTCTGGACGTTACACACATCCACTTTTACCACAAATCTAATATACCCCAATACTCATTTTGAGTATCGGGTATAAAAATATACGACACGTTATTCTTGCAGTGGATTTTGTATGGAATCCAGGGGAAATTTTATATGAAATCTCAGCAGAGCAGTGTTGCATTCGATTACCTTCGTTTGCATTTATACGATTACCCCAAGGAGATGCCCCCGGCCCCGACCCCGACCCCGGCCCCGACCCCGACCCCGACTCCGCGAACCCCAACTCTTCGACTCTGTTCATTAATAATTATTAATCATAATTCCCTTAATGGCGGGCGTTTAAAAACTGTTCGAGCGTCTTAATTGGTTTTGCTGCTTGGCTGAATGCTGAATGCCGGATTGTAGGTGGAGTTGGAGGTGGGGCCACTGGCACTGGCCAACTGCTGGCTAACTGCCTTCTGAGCCAACTTCCGCTGACCAGAGAGCCATTTGACATGTGCATTGGATGATTGAGCTGCAGTGCGCGAGTATTTCCAGTAATTTGGGCTCATTAAAACGACTTCGAAAGAGAGGGACACACTGCAAGTGTCATTCGAAAGGGAGCGCGCGCGACATGTGGGAAATGAGCAGTAAAAAAGAAGAAACGAGAGGAGCCGGGAGAAGAGCAGCCAGGAAATCGAAAGACAATAGAATTGCGGCGGCGGCTTTCGGTAATTGTTGGCGTTGGTCATGGTGAACCGTAACAACAGCAACTGTCAGAGACCGGCCTCGGTCCCAGTCCCAGTCCCAGTCCCAGTCCCATTCCTAGGGATAGGTACGGTACTGCGACGACCCTACAAGTGCCCAGCGCTCTGGCTGATCGGAGCGGAACACGTGCGTGGGAGCAAAGGCTCTAATTAGGGCCTTTAAACAGCTGCCTCTCACTCGGCCCTCCACCACCACCACCACCACCTCCACTCCTTCTTGACCCTTTCCACATGCGTGTGTGGGTATGTGTCTACTCTTTTTTTGGCATCTTTTTGATGTTTGCGTAGGTTTATGTAAATTACCCCGAGGGCCAAGGTTCCATGTCCATATAGACCATGTTAGAGGCGCAAATGATTCCTAGAAGGCAGCAACTGTAGCAGGAGCGGCAGCGGCAGCGGCAGAGACAACTCTTTCCTTTCATTCACTTTACCATCCGCAGGTTCCTTTCATTTGCATAGGAAACACAGTTAACAGAGGAAAGAGATCTATCGCATCGTATATGGCAGGGGAATGTGTGCACACCATACATATTTATCCAGGGTGACGCAAAAGATCTGAGAACCCGAGTTCCATAGAATATGTATTCGTTTGGGCTTTGACAATAACTCAAGAAGCTAGAGATCCTATGGTAATAGAATTCAAAGACTTTGCCGTGAACTTAGGAACCAATATCCTTTAAACCTTTGCGGGTTCATTGTTCTTAGGTTTTCTATTATATAGATCGCCCAACATAGTCCTTCAATCTCCCTCAAATTTCTCTAAGCTGAGGAATAACCACAGAATCGAATATTAACACTTTGATTTAAATTTGTCTGGTATAAATTTATGGTATATTTATATTTATGGTACTTTTAGCTTATTTTATATATTTAATTTAAATATGCCATTTTTATGGAGCTTTTATTCGATTATCTTATGTTCTATATCCCAAAAGTGATCCGAATCCTGTAAAACTCTATTGAAATGTACTTTTGGACGATTTTTCCACGTACACCTCTCCGGTTGTAGTTGTTCCGCTAGTTCCTGGGTTCCGTGCGACTGCCAGAGAGCCTCTCCTACTGGATATTTGCTTTTGGAACCTCTCCTCTCGCAGGATTGCTTTATGACATTGCCGTAAACCCTTTTAGCGGCGTGCGCGGAAGGACCAAACACACACACACACACACACACACACACAGCACTGAAAACAACTGTAAAACAGAAGAACAGCATGAAGAAGAGGCGGCCAAAGTAGAGGAAGAAAAGGGACCACCCATGCCCCGTCCCCCCCGTTTCGGCCACTGTTGATTTTTCGCGGTCTAATAAAAACAGCCCAAACAACAAAACCAACAAAAAGAGTTGGTACGGGTTTCCCCTCAAAGAGTTGAGGCCGCGCGCGGCACATTGCACTCGATTGCCGCCGCTCACTTTTCCACGGAAATCACGAAAACCCTTCGGTTTTCCGCCGTAGCCGCCGCCCGCTCAACCGCTTTGGGTGTGAGCATTTGCATAACGCCGCTAACGCTAACGCTGACGCTGACGCAGAAGCCAACGTCAGCGTTCAATGGAGCTTTCGACTGGAGACAGACAGCTGTTGGTGGTGGAGCTTTTGATTGCAGAGCGGCTACGGGGGGAAAGTGAGTACTGGAGAGCCCTGGAGAGCGTGAATGAATGAATGAAGGAGCACTGTTGAGCGGGAGTAGGGGTTCTTAACCGATTCTTGGGCCCCGCCGAAACCGGTTCGCGACTGATCCGATCACCTGAGTGTTGGACTAAACTCAAACTTTGAGCTTTAGAGTGGACCAACAATGCAGAAGCACAGAAGAAAAAGGTCACCAAGACGAGACATTGCTGCACTTCGATCATGGGTTGATCTTTTGTAGCGGCCAGTGGCATTATGTAGAAGTCCGCTGTATTTCGTATTCAACGATCGACCTAGTGACATACTAGAGCCCTGCACGAATCCGCAGTATTTATAAAATCACAGGGCTACAATATTTGTCTTTAATTTGGACTATATATTCTTATATATTATATCTCATATTATTACATCTATTACTGGAGGGCAAAGCTCACTCGATATGAGTCAAATATCGAGACCACGACAATACCTCACAGAGGTCTTCGACATTATTATCTGTATATTTATGATTTCACACCATTTTCCCTTTCTATTTTGTGGTTTCAAGTTTCTATTTTCAGTGTTTTGGTCCACTCAAATGCACCACAGAGTGCTTTGCCAGCCCTGGCCAGAGGCAAGCAAAAAACCTGAACGTCTGTTTATGAGTCTTGAGTGACTGGTCCGGTCCGGTCCGCCCCACGCGGTGACGTAGTCCCCGTAGTAGCAGTGCAAACGGAACCGCAACGAATCGAACCCGCCGCCGATCAGGCCACCGGGCGCAAAGGCAAAGCCGCTCGCTCTGATAAGCTATCAGTCAGTGCCGCCCCCCCCTCAGACCCCACAGACCCCATGCCCCCGGGGTCCCGCCTTCCACGGGCAATAAATAAAGATAAAATGTATAACATTTTCGTTGCAAAATACGGGTAAAAAAAAAAGAAAGTAGCAAAGTTTATTTGAGGCATGCCCTGGTATATACAATGTGGCAAATGATGACGATGACGACGATGACATAGATGGGGCTAATAATGGGGCTGCTTCTGCCAACGACGGGGATGATGACAAGGCGCTATAAGCAGTCGGCGACCTTGAGGTAAATGCGGTGTTCGCTGGCCAAAAGCGCGAACTTGGCATCGAAGCTGATGCGCTCGACAGTCTTCTCACAGAGCTCGACCCGGTGCCGACGCAGAAAGTATATGAGTCCCAGCTTTATCTGCAATTGGCCAATCTGCATCCCAATGCAGTGCTTGGGCCCGGCGCCGAACGGCAGATACGACATCGGGGCCTGATGTGATTTATTTTCGGCGCTAAAGCGCTCCGGATCGAAGCGTTCCGGATCCGGCCAGTACTGCAAAAGAGAGATTTTACATTAAAAAAAAAGCTAATCTAATACAAAACTGTGATTGGAGGTCTATCGACGTTGTGTTATTTCTAATTTCTAGTGCAGTTTCACATCGCCCTACTGTTCCTAATGATAGATAGTCGTGGGCTCTAGTTAAAAGTTCCTAGAACCATATAAAATATTAGATAGCAAAGGTCCATTAATTTCTGTGGTAGCCGAAATTCGATTCGACTCGATAAGATTGGGAAAAACTAAATAGAACTTTGTATACCATCAAATGAATTTGCCAATTAGTGACGCACAAAAAACTAGTTATATCTGGATAGGCTGCCTTTTGGGCTTCCTCCCATCCTCACCTTTGGGTCATGGTGTATGGCCAGATTGGATATATAGATGGGCATGCCGCGACGGGCATAGCACTCGGCGTGCGGACGGAGCGAGTAGAAGCGCTTCTTGTTAATGGGGGTGCACTCGCGCTCCAGCAGCGGCACAATGGGGTACTTGCGGTGCGTCTCCTCGACGATCATTTCAAGGTATTGCATCCGGCCGATTAGCTCGTAGCTGAGCGACCCGGCCGGGGACTCCTCGAAGGTCTCGCGTATCTCGCGCCGGAGCCGGGCCTGCATGAGGGGCTGTTTGGCCAGCTCGTAGAGGGCGAAGGAGAGGCTGGACGAGCATGTCTCGATGCCCGCCACCTCGAAGCTGGCCGCCTGGGCGGCCAGGAAGTCGCGATGATGCGTGAAGTGGGACTTGTCCTTCTGCAGATCCGCCTCCTTCTTGAGCGTTAGCAGCATCTCGATGAGATCGTTGCGCAGGTCGCCGCCGCGCTCCCGCTCCTCGATCACCAGCTGGATGACCCGGCGCAGAAACTCCGCATGCGGCTCCGTGAACAGACGGGGCCGCAACAGCGGCACCAGCTTGGGCAGGTAAAATATCACGAAAAAGTCAATTATCCGCCGCACATTCGGCCGGAAGATGTCCTGACAGTGTGAACCAATCTCCGACTGCGTGCTCCTCAGGCTATACGATCTCAGGCCGAAGGCGATGCTTGCGATCATGTCCGTGTTATACAGATCGCACACGTCCTTAATGCTCACGATCACGCCGCGTGCGGAGGCGTCGCTTCTCCGCATATCGCGCGTCAGTCTCTTCAGATAATATTCCAAATCGCAGCCAATCTGAAAAGAGCCGCGAACCATTAGGACTGTGACATTTAAGATTATATCTATCAATATGCCTAGCATACGCTCAGATATGATCAGAATGAAGCATACTCTTTAAAGGAGAGAATCTATCAATGGGATCTCATAATCTATTATAAGATCTCTCATTCATGAAATCCAGATTGCATGCAATACAAATTAGAGTAAATACAAGAGATAATACATAGGTGTGCTCAATCCATCATATATCTGATAGAACGATGGATCTGGAAGGGTATCTGAGACTCTCTTTCTACAAAGTTTTTTGTTTTTCCTGAATGCATTGAGCTAGATTTTGATCAATGTGAAAAAAAAACAAGTTTGTCATTTACACTGGGCAGCACGGCTATGGTCATTTCATCGTTTTATAACTTTTTGTTTGATTTCCTGAAAAACTGCTTTCGGAACTATCCAACAAACTTTCGGTTAGTCCAAACAATTAGTGTGAATGTCTTTATTGTTTAATTTGACCAAAAACAAAAGAAGGCACACCTGTTCGGATCACACTGGCCAGCAAAAAATGTCGACTGCAAGATCTTTTTATTTTAATTTTTCTCAATTTTTTTTTTTGCATAGTTTGAACCAATCCACCAGGTTTTTGGTTTATATTAAAGTATTTTCAGAATGGCAAAATAGTAAAAATTTGTTTTTTTGATTGTTTAAAAAAAAAAATCTGGACTTTAAACTTTAATAAATCCATAGAGATTGCAAATGCGTCATTTAAAGCCTCTATAAAACACTTACTTAAGAAACAATAAACCGTATATCTAATCGAAAAAAAGAAATTTGACTGTTGTAAATTTTCAAGCCGGAACTAGCCGCTTTCAGTTATCGAGCAGCCACTGTATAGCATATATTCTCCGCGGGCCAACATTCGATACTTTCTGACCTTTGATAAGAATATTCCAAATCAGCGCAAGAAAGAAATATAAACAAGGAATACAAAAAAAGAACCTGCGATGATAAGGCGACAATTTTGACAGCCTGGAGAGTCTCTTTTTTATCAGCGTGATATGGCTGCACTCCACACCTATAGCAGACCTATTCATATTGGTGGATAGTGCAAATATTCTCCGACACGCCTACTCGATCAGCGAGATAATATTTGCTTCCCCTCTTTAGCCCCTCATTTTGTTGGACAGTGTAGGTTTTAAAAGTTCGTGGTAGACGATCGACCGACATCGAATGTTACTCTCTCTCTCTCTCCCTCTCTGTTGCCCCATTCCAGTGACTCACCTCCTCCATCAGCGAGAACATTTGCTTAATCTTCGCCCCCGTAAAGACGGGGGACAGCCTCGTCCGTATTTCCCGCCACTCTGGCTGCTTGGCGAAGAAGAGGTTGAGCGAGCCCATCTTGTCGTGTCGCAGATCGCACTTGGCGAACCGATTCGAGAAGCTCACAAAGTCCTCGACGAGCACGGTCCGCACCAGCGACAGGTCCCGGATGAGGAGCGCCGGCTGGTGGAACAGGTAGATGCCCACGATGGGCTCATTGCGGAACCGCTCGTCGAAATAGAAGCGTCGCAGCTGCAGCGCGAACGACTCCTCCAGACGGAGCACCTTGCTGAGGTTCCCCAACAGATGCGCCGGCTGCACGAACTTGACGCGACGCCGCTGCCAGTAGACATAGGTACGGCGCGACCACACGAACACGGCCGTCAGGATGGTGACGATGGCCAGCAGTATGTTGGTGGAGTAGACCATTGTGGCGGTGGCGGAGAGATATGTGATCTTCTCTCTGCTGGGGACGCTGTTTCTGCTGGCGTTGGCGTTGGCTTTGCTGCGACTGCGAGTGCTGCTACTGCGTGGTATTCCTTCTGTGTGTGCGCGTTTTTAGCTCGTTTTTTTACAATTAAATAAATAAATACTTAACAAAATTATATCACATTTGTACAAAAAAAGCAACTAAATGCTAACTATGCGACAATGAAGAAGCAGCAGCTTTCGCGGCAGAAAAAGGGAACCGCGAACAAGACAAACAACGCAAAAAGAGTCGCACAGAAAGAGACGCGCACAGACACACACACATACGGACAGACAAAGAGAGTACAAAAACGCGGAACCGGAACAAGAGAGAGCGTTGAACAAATAAAAGAATAGTAATAATAGTATTAATAAAAAAAAGCACGCTAGTAAGCACCACAACGACGCCGGCACGACAGGCCCCAAAAAGCAACAGAACTGGCCGAGATGCCGACGCCGCTGCCCAGCGAGCACTACTATCAACAGGCAGCGGCAGCGACGGCGGCAGTGTATCAGCAAAACAAAGAAACAACAAAAAGCACAAAGCAAAACCGCAGCAACCGCAGCAGCAGAGAGTAACCTCAAATGCAGAGAGTGGCAGCAGCAGAGAGCAGCAGAACAGTTCACAGTCCACAGCCAGCCGACGCCAATGCTGACGCCCCCATCATCTCATGCTGATTAACCGCAAGAGTGTTTGCGGGGGGCAGAGGCAGACATAGCAGCCTGGGATCGCAGAGAGGCAGAAAGAACAAGAACGAGAGAGCGAAGCTGTAGAATTGAAGTCGCGGCGCGCCGCTGCGCTAAGCTGACGGCACAGTGGGATCGAAGTCGAAAAGTACTGTTACTGTAATCAAAATTCTCGACATCATTAGAATTGTTTCAACAAGCAAACATGCATACATATGTATAAAGCATGCATACGAAGAGCAAGAGGTGGCTCGCTGCAACCACAAGATATCGAAAACCAACAGAATTATGAAAATTTTTCAATTAAATCAATTCTAGATACATATGTAGATCTGCAGTGTGGACGAAGGCACTGTCTCAACACTTTTGCTCTACTGTACGTTAGTTATTCAGCAGAGAGCGAAATAAAATGCGAGCTGCAGAATTGCAGTCGCGGTCGCTGCGCTGCTTTCTTTTCTGGCACATGGCAATCAATCCACAATTGAATCGGAATGGAGCAAAACAAAGCAAATTTATGCATACATATGTATGTATGAACAAGTAAACGCAATACGGAATGCTCGCAATTATTTGCAATGGTATACAGCAGAAGAGTAGTTTTTGTTAAACATATTTATGTACGTACACTCGCCCAGCATTTTTTTCCCCACTGTACTCGAATGGTTAAGAGAACAAAGTAGACCGCAAATAAAACTGACGATTAAAAGCAAAACAGCGATAACAATAGCAGCGCAGAGACGTGGACTGCTGCCGCTAGTGCTCCACGTGACGACGTCGCCCGCGTCAGCGACAGCGACAGCGAAGAGAGCGTCAGAAAAAGAATGGTTCGTTCGCTCGCGGGGGGACAACGATTTAAAAATAAACTTGCGAATTCTCTTCAACTTTTTTGTAGCTGTTCTCTTCTCTCTGTGCTCGTTGCTTTTCTTGTGTTCTTTGCGGTTCAGCTGATTTTGTTTTTCTTTCACGCGGCGCTTCTGCTGGCAGGGCTGGCTGCCAGGGCACATATGACCCCGACCAGGGCTGCACTTTCTACAAAAGCAACACTGGTAGGAGCGTGAGTGGGCGCCAAATTTGATTTCAATAATACTTTATACTCAATATTTCGCAATTCTTCCTCTGTCTTTCTTTAACAGAAAGAGCAACTGTTCTCCGTTTCTCACTCTCCCTCTTTGCAAGAACGGACATCAGCACTTCCTCTTCCCCATCGAACAACTCCTCTCTTTCTTCCTTCAAGGACAGGAAAAAGGAAACTCCATTTACAACAATTGACAGAAATTTGCACTTTTGTGGAAAACTTTCACATTTCTCAAGATTTTTCCCTGCTCTTCCCTGCCCACTTCCATTCATATCATATCCTTCTCTTTCACCTCCTCCTTCATGGGTAAAGAGTGTGCCACAGTTACAGTTACAAATGTGCAACATTTCCGGTGTGGCGCCGCTTGGGGGATAGCCAAAAACTGTTTTGGCCACATTGATGGCTGCATACATATACTCCATACAAATGTTGGCAAGAGAAAGAGTGAGAGAGAGGGAGAGAGTGAGGTAAGAAGCGGTGTGAGAAAGAGGCCGGGAGCGTGTGTAAAGGAGTGGAGTCTTGCTTTGATTAAATTTCACGCACGACCGCCGCTTCGCCAGGGGGAACAGAGGTTCAATTTGGATTTGGAGACTTTTTGGGGAGAGAGCGAGAGTGAGAGAGCACACACAGAGACACAGAGCCACACAGACACGCGCTCGCGTTGACATTTACCGCTGCATTTCGATTTGCATGTGCCTTGCGGATGGTTGCGTTGGAGGGGGGCTAGAATGAAGTAGAGGCGGCGATACCCTACCAGATAAAGGTATGTTGACTTTTAGCACATTTTTGCCACGAAACTGTTTAAATATCGTGGGCATCATTTACATATGTTTCTAAAATGCAATTTTATGTCTATGCGTATAAGCATATATGTACATATGTATGTATGTAAAACACCCATATATATGTATATGGTTATAGGGTATCTAAGCCGCCGGCTGCCGAAGCTGGAATTTTATGCGTTATTTGCACTGTCGCTTTGTCGCTGCTTCGTCGCTGCTGCGTCGCTGGCGATATGTCAATAATCGTTGTTGCTTATGCACATAACGGCTCTGCAAATACAGGGGCGCACTTGTCGCAGCACCCATCACATCACCCATCGCCCACTGTCCACACCCCCTGGTCGCTTGGTGCACCCCCGCCCACACCGTACACCCCATCAAAATCCGCTGAGCGAAAATCAAAGCCGTCTCAATCAACAAACAAAGAGACAAACAAACAAACAAACAAATAGTGAGACCGGAGAGCGGGGGAGAGGAAGACAAACATTTGTGTGCGCTTTTCCCGCCCAAGGAGTGGGCGTGGAGGGGGGCGGAACGGAACGGGTGGCATTTGCTTTTCCTATTTAGTTTTGGCTGCAACTTTGTTTTCCTTCCATTTACGCTATTGACATTGGAAATCTTTTAATTATTGTCACGCCTCGCATACACCCTTCCTCTCTTCCTTCGGCATAGTTTCCCCCGACCGTCCCTCCGACACCCACTTGGTGTGGGAGTGGCGTCAGGTGGTGGCGGTGATGATGGTTCGGCATGTCGTGCGGATTATATGGGGATTAGTTCTGGAACAGTGGGGGGGGGGGTATACGATCCAAGAAAAGCTCCACACAACACACTCGCTGCTGCTGCTGCTGAGGGATGGAGAGCCTCCGGTCCCTTACCTGCCGCCACAGACAATAGTTTCCCAACTGATTCCCCCTCTCCCCGTGAAGGAAGTTTCATTCCCATATCTGTTCGAACGCTTCAGCGGGCTATGTCTTCCACATTCCACATACATACATACATATCTCTCAAGGAGCGATCTCCCCGGCTGATCTCTTAGATCCTTCCACCTGCCCGCATTCCATGAGGATGCCGCACTGACCAGCGCCTACCGTACCTCCCGCCCTTTTGGTCCATGCATGGTCCAGTAATCTCTCTATTTCGGGGGCAAATCCTTGCACATGTGCGCGCCCTTGATGTTGCACCGCCTTCAGCGGCAGTGCAGCGGCGGTGCAGCGGCGGTGCAGCGGCGGTGCAGCGGGGAGGGGAGTGAGTGTGTGGCATGGATAAAGTGCGCAAAATAGATGCGTAATTTGACGTTAATGTTACGCTAATAATAATCTGTCAGCCGGCATTAGATGGGTAGATGTGTAGATGGTAGATCCTCAGATTCTCGGATCCTCGGATCCTTCGGCAGCTGATCTTTATCGAATGCACTCACACACACGCACTCCCTTTTGATGCCGATCGTGTAATGTGCTTAGCCCTTCTTTGGACTCACTCCACTTCTACTTTGCTCTCTCTCTCGTCCGCTTTCTTTTCGCTCTTTGTTGTGTTTGCCATTTTGACGGGTTTCGATTACGTTCTGCTTCAGCCTCCCTTCCCCTACTCTCTCATCGGCCTGCTCTCTCATGTGTGTAATCCACTCTGCTCGTTCGTTGCGTTGCTCAATGTTAAATGGTGCGCGCCTAAGTTGAGCAAATTTCCCCAAGGCCTCGAAGGACTTTTGCGCACGCACCTCTTTGTCCCATTTAAGAAGATACTGTTTTTTATGCCCTCGCAAAGAGTATTACTATTTACACCAGATGTTTTGCAGCGCGGCCAAGGAGCCACGAGGCCCTGCATTTACATCAACACTAAAGCTTTCGCCCAGAAAGAACATCGTTCTAAAGAGGAGACGAGTAACATTTCGCTTCAAAACTTTCATGTGGCAAAAGTTCAAGCTCAAGGGTAAAACGCGTTAGCCGATGTAAAGACGTAAATCCCAAATCCCAAAAACCCAAACGTGCGAGAAGTGATTGCTAGATCAGGGGCAGGGGAGCCGAATCGTGATGCATTTATTACAACAGCAAATACAACAGAAAGCTTCGTTGTGATTACATGTGTGTGAGTGATGATTAGGATGTCCGCTAATGCAAGCAAAGCTTCACCAAAGCACAGATCGAGAGAGCGATAGCGAAACGAAGAGAGGCGTGATCTGATGTCGGGAGAGAGAGAGCTTCGGCATAGACTGCTGCCGTGCGTGAGAATATATACATATGTACATGCAAGTTAACGTACCCAATTCCATTGAGCTCTTATACGAGTTGTAAACAATCTTTGGTTTTCCAAAACGAAAACAATTTCAATCTTGGGCCTCCGCCTAATTGATTTCTAAGATGTACAATCTCAAGCGCCCCCGCCGCAATCCCATTCTTTGACACTCGCCTAAATGGAAAACCAATGTTTGCCCACACCCGGCTTCTCATAAACAATCTCACTCCCGGCTTTCTGCAGATCCTGCACTTTAGGCCTTTTACAGTTCTCTCTTTGGATGACGAAATCTAATACTCGGGATGGCGAAATCAATTGAAATGTTTATAGAAAAACGATTCCCGAAAGGGATCAACGATGCAAAGATCAGAAAGTTCAAATCAGTCTTGATCCAGCAGCGACACCGCAAAGTCTAGCTAAATATTAAGATCGCGCAATCCCTTGGCCCGGAATTCCTTTGTGACCCTCTACTTAAATCTATATCAGTGAAGTTCGAAGTAAAATAAAAACTTTTTAAAAACACAATCCGCTACCGCAGTTGTTTAATTGGCGCCCAACGTGGGGCGACGTTGTCTAAAAAGCACCGAATGATAAAAGTGTTGCGTCGTGCCGAAACCCGAAGGACAATTAATTAATGGAATAAATCCTTCAAAATTAAAAACGCGGAGTGACTGTGTGATATAGATAAAA